TCATATATGTATTTTTTTAATGAGGAAGTATTAAAAAAAACAAAAACACTAAAAAAGCATCTCCATTAGATGGTGACTCTAGCAAAAGTTGATTTTTGCAGGATACGAATGGACCAAAGACAGTCATATCTGTTCCTTTTAACTAACATTTTAAAAATCTGAAATTTAAAAAGTTCGAAACTTAAATATCAATAGAAATACGAAAAATACAAATAGAATACGAGTTGTTTATTGAGTTTTGAAAACGATTTACTGATATCTAGTTTGATTTTGGGAATTGATGTTTTTTTTTAATACTTCCACATTATATTTAGAGGTTATATAATAAAGCGCAATAGCGAAGTCCGAAAACGCAAATATCTAAGCAGTTTCGTTGCAGTATGCTGTATAGGATCACCCTATCAGATTGGAGTTTGATCATTCCTTAGTATATATTCTACATCGTAAAGAATGCCACATACTTCACAGTTGGGTGTTAAAAGTTATTACAGTAGCAATTTAAGGATGTATCCATTCGTATTGAAATAATATATCGTGAAGAGCACGATGTAACAAATTATCTAACAAATTGAATATGAATATAAAATCAAAGTAGTATCATGATCAGGGTTGCCACCTTTTGAGAAACAAAATTCGGGATACTCAAACGGTCGTCAGATGTAATTGAACTTCAGTTCAAAGTATGTCATAGTAAAAATTACAACATACTATTATGATGCAGATTGCATGGCGGCGGAATCTGTGCGGAGATACCTAAGACGCGAATAGAGCTATTATCAGTCGTCAAAAATCGGGACAAAATCAATAAGAAATCGGGAAGCGGGACAATATCTTTGAAATCGGGACTATCCCAGATAATTAGGGACGGGTGGCGACCCTGATCACGATATCACATAATTAACAAATGTGATTCGTTAATATTTTATGGGTGTCCAATATAATGGTCATAACTCAGAAAACTTGAAGTATCCATGTCAAATACCAATATATCAATGTTATTTTCTTCTTCATAATTTTCGGTAATTTGCCTTTACATATCTGATTTAAATATTCCATGTTTATGTATATCCGAGTTTATTAAACTTTCTAATGCGTATTTCGTGACCTGGTGATAGAATCGAATTAAAAGTAGCTGTAGTAGATAGAGTTTGCAAACTTGTCTAATCAGATGAAATAAGTGGTTTTTACTAACACAATTTAGAAGCTATAAATTTGATATGCCCATGAATTCGGCGTTTGGTTAATTTAATGAAACTGATGGGAAAGTAAAGTGTATGACGAATTGGAGACGTGTTAATAAGTTTACTTTTAGAATTAAATACATAACAAAGTTCTCCAACACTCGCTATGAAGTAATTACCTAAGTGTTACATTAAATTAGTTTTTCGATTATATAGGTACTATTTCTCACCACGCATTTTGATGTGTCAAAGATGCCAGGGGCGTACCCAGAGTCTGAGTTAAGAGGTCTGGTTAATCAAAGTTTTGGGTAGCTTTGTAACAAATAATGACTAAATTTACAACTGCCCCTGTGATTACCAATAAAATTCCATATTCAAATACTTTTTAAAAAGGGCGACGATTCAAAAATACTTTAAATAAGTTTATTTGATTTATTCAGAAGCTTAAGTAGGCTATAAGGTTACTGATCCCAACTTTCAAAAACTAGGATTAACTCGACCTACTTAAAAAGGGCATTTGATTGAACCTACAACGCTGTAATAAATGACGGAACATTTCCTTATGTGCTATTATTTGAACTCTGGTTGGAATTCTAGATTAGAAATTAAATTTACTACTAACTACTAGAGTATCGATAATTAACAGTAGCAGATATTAACTACCTTAACTTTCTCGAATTAATTAACCTTAGTAATTAAATTATTAATGTATATTTGATATGTGGATGATGTTAAAAACCACATAGGTACATTAGATAATATGACGCCATTGATAACAAATATTTATTGGACTATGGACAAATATATAATTTTTCATTATTAAATCAATTAATTAAAAATTAATAAATATTAAACAACATAACATACGTTGCTCAGATTCCAACATGAGTCGCTAAAGCCACAGTATTATGGAGTATCTGAGATAACGAAGGTAACACAACGCTCAAACCAAAGACAATATAAAAAGACCTTTTTCGACATTGATCCGACGGGGAAACGAACCCTCAGAAATGGTGACACCTTGAAACCAGCGTGCAAACCACTCGGCTACGAAGGTCGTACATTAATCTTCACTTCTTAAAGAAATGATTCGCATTTCTTGTGTTATGAGAAAGTAACTTACCGAGATTTCAGTCACGTTGCAAGGCGCCAGTTTTAAAAGTTTTCAATCACAATCACATCCATTGGAGCACAAAATGTACCTATACCAAAACTGAAAAGTACATAATCAAAGGTATTTAAGTAAGTCGAAATTAAACCTCCTTGTGCAGATATTTCACGTTCACTATTATATTGATTTTTTTGCGACGTGCGCAAAGTGCGATGCGCTTCCCGCGTGTGAACCGAAGATGCTCTTGCGCCGATCGCGTGTTCGTTACACATATCGCGTATAGTGTGTTCCCGTTAAAAATGGATTAATCTTTTTTTTTACATAGAAAGGACCATTATCTACAAAATTAATTATATATTATCCCCCTTAAATGTTTGTTTTATTTTGATTTAATGATTTATTTATATCTTTAATATTGTCTAACCATCACGCTTCATGTGATACAGATTAGTGACAGACACAGACGGATGGACAGGGGAGTCTTAGCAATAGCGCCCCATTCTCCCTTTGGGAACAGACCCTAGAAAAAGCAAACCACTAACTATAATAATCTTATGACACTGGCAGCCACTTACCATGTGTCGGATGTCTTGGACTGGAGAGTCTTAGCAATAGGGCCCCGTTCTCCCTTTGGGAACAGACCCTAGAAAAAGCAAGCCACTAACTATAATAATGTTATGACACTGGCAGCCACTTACCATGTATCGGATGTCTTAGACAGCCCCACACTGATCTTCCGTTGTATCATCAGGTTGCTGAAGGCACTATTACGCCACGTTCATATTCATTATTTTTCTTAATATGTCTAGCACAAACATAAAAGATAATTTTATCACTCATCATCATCAACAGCCTTTTTAAGTCCCCACTGCAGTGGCTCAGGCCTTCCTTATAGATGGTTAAGGAGGATGAATCATGGCCCTCCACGCTGTCCCAATACAGATTGGGGAGGATTAACGACTGCAAATTCAGTTGGGACCAACGGCTAAACGTGTCTTCTAAAGCACAGGATAGCTCGAGATAATTTTTTTTTCGGTCACCCATCCCTTGACCAACCCTTGCGGAAGCAGCGACGATCGCGGGCCGCAGCGCTTACCTTCTACGCCACCGAGCTTCACGATTTTATCACAATCTCCTTAAATTATGTCTCAAAAACATTTATTGCTCGATCTCTATAGTCGAGCAAAAGTTATTTATTCGTGAATAAATTAAACTAGTTTAAGTAGTATTTACTTTTTTTTAAATAAATGTTGGTTTATTTCAATTAATTTCTACATAATTAATAGTAATCTTTCTTACGAGAAAAGACAAACAAACCGAATAAAAATTAAGTCAATTTAGGTTTTAATTTTTGAATATACAACATAAATTATGTTTTCCTAAAAAGGAAAATGTCCGTTGGCAAACGGGATTGCACCAAAAGCGGATGTTATCGCGTGCCTCCGTTACATATTCCGCGATTATGGTATTTTACGAAAGTTGCCTATTTTTTGTATGAGCAACGCAGGTTTTATTGTATAATTGTTATATTAAGCGTAACGCCGACCGGAGGTAACGGTATTGCCAGCATGGTGGTGTCCACAGAACAGTGATAGTAAAATCATAATAATAATATAACGGACTATTTTATAACATGACAACATTAAATCTAAATAATGTAGCTGTTATAAAATTATAAACAAATGAATTTGCGATACAAATAAACTAAAAGTTAACGTTCCAAATACAAAATCGGTAAAAAAAAAACAGCCAGCAACATTTTATTTTTTCAGTAAAAAGTTTGTCTTAAAACTTATGAACATACGAGCTAATGACGCTCAGTCGAGAACACACTTTCTAGTTTATTACTTTAGCTTTAGTTTACAATGTAATCTAATCAGACATCAGATATTATAACCTGATTTTAATCCTTAATACATAACCAATGGAAATCAGAAATTAAAATTATACATTTAGTGCTTAAGTGCTCGTTAAAGAAACGCTCGACAAGTTCGTGAAACGGGTCTAAAGTGAGACATGCTCATACAATATCGCACTCTCGGTCTCGCTTTTGCTCGTTTCTCAAGTCTCTCGTGTTTGTCATTCTACGCGACCTGCACGCGTAGCACGACAAACTCGAGAAACGCTTTGTCTACATTCATTTGTCAGTTTCTCCGGTGGAGAGTGAGATATAGTATGGGCGCACCCGAGAAAAGTGACATTTGAGTGTAGACTAAACTTTCTTGAGTTCGTCATGTTACGCATGCTAGGTTGCGACCGCTTAGCTTCCGGGCCATGAATCTATCTATTTTAAACGACATCTCAGCGATATTTACTTTCGTTTTACTACTTTCATGTATATTTTGATGCATTTTGGTATAAAAGACTAAGCCGGTAACACTGCTGTCAAATCAAATCCATAATAACCATTTTTTATCATTCGTCCATAGTTATTATAATTTATTAGTAGTTCTATTATTATGTGTCAAAGTAGTACAATGAAATGAAATATCGTTATAACATCGCTTAAATGTCGTATACTATGGCTAGTCATTGCTATAGAGTTAAGCGGTCGCACCCCTAATGAGTGATGTGAATTTCCTTTCTATGCCTTTTTAGGATACCGTGCCCAAAACGAGAATCCTATTACTAAAACTTCGCTATATCTGTCTATCACCAGACTGTATCTCATGAAAGGTGAATAATCCAAGAAATAAAACAATTGATTACTTAAAATATGAAAATGGAATTTATTATTAGGTACTTAACTTTAAAATAATATTATAATGTATCTAACAAACTAATCTATACGAAATGTATCTACCGGCTGTCTCCGATGATCTAATGATTTTCACCACCTGTAACAAATTGAAAACATACATATATTATTTGGTTCAACTGAGGCTAGATCACCAAACGGGCCATGATCCAGGACAGTCTATGGTAGTGCTGTGTCTCCCAAACTATTACATATTTTTATTATTAAGAACACTAGAGAATATTACTGATATTATTATCCTTTTCGTAAGACCAAAAACATATATACTGGAAAGATTGTATAAGACGGGTATTAACGCGATAGATTTCGATAGTTAGGTTTTTCACCTACCTATATTACGACAGAAACGTTTCAAAGTTTATATATATTGGAAAGTTTTGTTAGTTGGGTTGGAGCCTAATCAATTTTGGGAACCACTGAACTACTGCATATGAATAGATTCACTTTTGATCGTGAACACGTTAAGATTTTATCTAAACTTAAATCTAGTGATTCAACACTTATATTTTATAAATTAAAAACAGCAATATCATTACTGGAACGAATGGCACCAGATATTATAATAAGTCTAGAACCAATTAACGTGCATTTTTATATAACAATCATTTAAAAATTCAAGATACAGTCATATATCTGTTCATTTAAAATGTCTGCCAACATCAACAATATAATAAAAATGGATTTTTAATATTTCTAATACATGATTTCTAGATTAAGAATATTGTTATTTAATGACACAAGCAGATAAAGATCTTTGTACAACTTGAAAAATATTAATAATGGCATTGATCTCATTCGTTTATTATTTTATGTGGAAATCGTCTCAAAATTTAGCGTTCTAATGAATATGTAAAAATAAATTAACATAAAAATGTAAGCCACAGTAAGAGTTAAAATATCAGATCCATATTATCCTTATTTATATAGTTATGTACGATGAAACGAGATCGGATACGATTGGAAAAATATGAAATATATTTAATTAATGAAATCAACACCTCATGTCATTGGTTCGCTATCCTGCAAAGAGATCTTGGATCGAAGAAAACTGGTCAGCATCATCAAGAGCTCTCAATAACACAATAATTTTAGAAGCCAAAAATAAAAAAAAGCTTTACTACTGTATGATTATTAATTTCTAGTTGGCCATCTTCGCCGTTTTCGGTTAAGTTATTCACTTAGTACAAATTTCAAATGTTGCGGGATTATTCTACAATAATTACTTACTTACATTAGCCATTCTATTTTGTAGTCTGAAGAATCCTTGATCAAAGTTAGTTGGCTAACACATAGTTGTATAAACATCTATTAAATTTTACATTAATTTAAAACAAAAAAAATACCGATATAATTTTTCAAATGTCCTAGACATTAATAGAGCTTAAAATCGTCATTAAACCTCAATGAACCTTTTTACAACTGGATGTTAGTTTTATACACTATAAGTAAAAGAAAAATACAAACCTGCCCTCTCTTCAGTCCGAAATACCTTGCAACAGGATCACCAGCTTGAATTCTCATCAACATATTTTCTTTTAATTTACTGTTTTTAAATTGTTAAGGATAACATTCACAAAGTAGGTAATTATTAAAAAATTGCATGAACATCACATAAAAATATTAATGTACCTTTTAACAACAGGTTTGATCTTGACAAATCAATGGAATCAGACCTTATACAGGGAAGAACTACCATGAATAATACTTTACTCATTGATCTGCAAAATTAAGCTTTTAGTGTAATAAGGGATTAAATGGATCCATTTCAAAATTGATAAAGGTGGCTCTACAAACCTGACACATGTGAAATAATTACCCAATTATAAAAATTCTTTCACCTATGGGAAACTACATCATACGAGGCTGACGTTGGTTATGACCTCAACGCCAGAGAGCTCGCGGTAAAATGGCTAGTATTGTATAAATAATATCAATTTTGTGTCTGTTTATTATCTTGTTCAAACTTGCTTTGCAATGAAAGGTTCTAAAGGCTTCTGTATTTGCCCCATGGAGTATATGTGTAGGGTAATTTATGGTTATGGTAAGATTTGTCGCAATCTGTACATATGGACTTTTTGTACAGATACTTTGTATGTACCATTTGTTTAGTGTAGTAATACTAACATAGTTTACCAGTAATTACTTTCTTATTTCATATTATGCTGAATCATTAAGTTATTATAAATTTTCCCTATTCACTTCACCCCACAAAACAATTGTTTGCAACAAAGGTATACGCAAACATAAAAAGAAATTATAAAGGATACTATCTCGCTAGCAACTCCTGTTTTTCATCAGGGGTCAACACAATATGCTCTGGAACTAATTCATGTTCTGTTATGTTGATTAATAACTCTGATTCAAGAAATTGCTCCAAAATATACTTTGGTGCCATGTCTACAAGAGATTGTTTTGCTGATGGTGTCATGCCTGTAAAACATAAAAAAAATTGATACAAATTGTTTCATATCACCATTTCCAGCCTGCCCCCCACCCTGGGAATTTATTGCTAGGGCACAGGGCTTTCCCTAGGAATGGAAAATGGAATGGTTATAATTCAAATATAAGTTTTACTCCCTCTTCATTGATACCTCCCATGAAGAAGTCACAATTATTTAGATAAAACTTTAGTTCAAATTAAGCCCTGATATTTCAGTTATACTAATATAACACATTAAAAAAATGCATATTACTTTACCTCATTATATACATTATTTATATACAAGTATATAACATATATACCTAAATACCTATATATGTAAATTATAGGTTATATAATATATAAAGCTTATTTTATATATAGCTTTTATTAAACTCTACTGATTCATAATATTTATCCCCATTAGTGTTGAGTAAATATGTGTAAAATAAATAAAAGCCTTTTCACAAAACACCTAGAACTACTATTACTAGGAAATAGTTTTTAAACCGATTTTGACTATTATTGACAAAGGCTAATAATGACTCAATCTAGAATCAAATAAAATTGATTTACTTATTATATCTTATCATCATCACCAGTCAATTAATGTCCCCAATGTGCTGGGGTCAAACCTTTCCTATGCTATTGACTCAAAGTGAATAGGAAAAATTGAGAAATGACCCACATGGACCTAGTGCAGATTGGTGAGTGTCAATGACTGTAGACACAGCTGATACCAATGACTTAATATGCCTTCTGAATCATGGAGGAGCTTGAGATACTAAATTTTTTGGTCGCTCATTCTATGTCCACCATATATATCTCAGACCAACAACAGTAATTATTGCACCAACAAGCTCATATTTATTATCATAGATATTGGAAGTTACCTGCTTGCACTACAACTATAGCTCTATGAATATTTTCTTCTTGCATTCTAGTACAATATGTTTTTATGGTTTTAATTCCTATCTTGGCTTCATCGGGGAAGAAAACAAACATTTGATCTGTGGGATCATCATTATGAGCCACAAGCACAATTAGATCACTTCTAGCAGGCCGCTTTTCACTGAAATATGAATAAACAAATACAAAAGAGGTTAATAATTATTATAAAGATATTTGTGAAAATTATTCATTATTTTACATTATGGTTTTAAAAATGAAAGTGTCACTGTAAAATTTGATAGCTGTGTTTGAAATATTTGTTTAATAAAAGTGTATTAATAAAAAAAGACACTATGATAACTATAGATGAAAAAATAAAGAGAAATATCCTTGAGAGGAGAATATCTGACACAACAAGGATTCATATTGGTGAGTTTACCTTGGCTTATCTCCAAACTGTTCTTTGAATTGTTCCAATGTTTGATCCAATTCATCTTGTGTTACTAGATACCCTCGATCATGACACAGCTGGAGAAATAATAGAGAAATTATCAGTAATTACAGTGTTACTTTTATGGCACAAATATAACCTCAAATATGCGTGATATATCCTACATGTTCAGCCATGGCTATAGTAATCTTACACAAATAAATAGGTCATCTGAATTAGGAGCTTTAAGTTCATTTTTTACAAAATAGAAGAATCGAGGTTACATTTCCACTTTACCTGCATGACAGTTTTACGGATTCGCCAAAGTTTGTAAGTTTCTGCATCGTCATCCATTATGAAATTTTTATTATAAGTGCCTAGTGCTCTATAAAAATATTATCTAGCTAAAGAATTTGAAGGAATCGTATTGTTTTTGCTTTATTTTCCGTCTCAAACCCCGGTCTGGCGGCCCGTCAGTATCATGTCCGTCAGTGTGTATTATTTAAAAAAATATATAAGAGATAGCGCAAAGGAATGAATTTAATCATACAGCCATATGGCTTTTAAATATTTTAAAATATAGGAAAACAATAAGCTAAACTCAGTACATAATATAGCAGAATTAACTATGTCAAATGCAAGAATAAAAAACTATAATGTTATTCAAATTTTAAAATTTCATCAAACATACACATCAAATATAAACTTTATTTTTTTTTTAGCTTTGATGATTATTGAAAACTGTTTACTGCTCAGAAAGTTGCGGTAATAGGACTATAATACCCACTATATATTTACTTACTATGACAAAAATTGGCAAGATGCATCTGTGCAAGTGCAATAACAATATGTTTGCGTACGATTGAAAGAAATACATTATTATGAGACCACGCCTTTACGGTCTACCGTTTGAGTTGAAAGGTAACTGGGAAAATAGTATGGTAAAAAACCCATGGCGGACAGAAATAAATTAAGAATGAACATAGGTTTTTATTTCTCATTTATTATGGGTAGGGTAACTATTTTCTAGATAGTGGGATTTTCAAAAATAGTCTACACTTGTCATAACAACTTATTATCACCGAATGTTTAAACTTTGTTTATTAATAGCACATTGGAGTGCTATTAATAAATAATTTAACGTCGTGTAAATTGACGCTAAAATTGCAATTTTTAATAATATAAAAATAATATAAATTTTGACTAATACTCAGTGCAGTCTTAGCGTAAATTTACTCCTAAGCCAAACCTTATTTGAGTTAAAACCATTATTTTAGGTCAGTGGACTTATTTTATGGAGTACATACTGACCAAAGAAGTTTTCTTTGGAAATACAAAGCCTAAGGAAATAGGGATTAAAATTTTGAATGAAAGTCCGTCAGTTTTCAAGTTAAAAACAAGAATACTTATTTCAACGTCAAGAGGAAATTTTAATCATAAGGGGCAAAATAGGGGTTGAAAGTTGGTACGGAAATCCACTAGTTCGAAAGATGAATAATTATTTCTAGTTATTTACTAACATAATTTGTAGAAATTCTATCCATAAAGGGAGTGAGAAAATAAAATACAGTATATATTATTTACCTATAGCTTACAGAAAAATGTTTTAGAAGTACTTACTTATATGTATTATGGTTGTTAGCCTGTTTTTTGTTGGAATAAAAAAGGCGTATGGAATAGATTCTGCACCTAAAATTAAACAAAAATCGAAAATAAAATGTCAAAAAAATCGTCTATGGACTTTATCAGTGTTTTGTGGATTTGCACTGTTAAAATACGATTAATATAAGAATACGCCCTAAGTGTAACAAAATAACTATATATCGCTGAAGAAAATGGCTGGAATTAAAGGTACACCAAAATTAAGCTTTAATATAGTTTTCAGTTTATTGATTTATTTGCTTTGAAAGTCATCCCCTACTTTAGTGAGTCATGTTATTTACTAAACAATTTTAGCAATATTTTAATATAATCCTTTTGTTTCATGTACTCGTCGTATTTTGCAGGGTAAGTGTTTTTAATTAACGTACCTTAGATGTAATAAATTATATTATTTACAATTTTAGAAAATATGTTGGTGCTTGATATTTTACAACTTATCATGACAAAAGCCACCTAGATCTTTACATAATTACCAACAATTTCTGTTGCCACTGAACCATATTGCAAACTCACAAAATAAAAACTTTTACAATCTAATATTAGCATATTATTTTGATACTTTAAGTACAATGACAAAGATTCTGATTATGTATTTACAATTTTTTTGTTTCTAGTTGTTGAAATTTGTTATTGTGTTGAATAAATTATTCATAAGTTGATTAATTGCATTATATAACAAAGTAGATTTTTAGATAAACATCTATTTATATGAAATAATTCATTGTTGTTTTTTTGTAAACTGTTCATTAACCATTTATAATTTCAGTTTGGTGTCCCTGGCTTTCACTGGTTCTATTGGAATGACATTTGTTATATTGGCTTGTGCATTGCCAGCTTACAAGTAAGTTGTTTAATATTTTTTTTTCAATGGTAAAACTATACATGTGAAGTGTGTTCCTGTAAGCAGTTCTTCGTATAAATGCTAGTTCAGTTGATTACCAAATTTGTACTGACATTTAAGTCTGAAATGGAATGTTAATAAAATAAATGTTCTATAATATTTTTAAAAAGACAGTAAAATTAATCTCATCTGATTAATAAGTCTAAAATAAATTCATTAACATATATATATAAGTTGATTAACAAAATGCTTAAAAAATATGTTTTTGATGGTGAACAATGAATAAGGAATCAATTGCTTTAATTTAATTATGGAAATTGTGAAGTTATATATATATATTTTTTTTTCTAGTGTATGGTGGCCATTCTTTGTAGTTCTATTCTATGTATTGAGTCCAATTCCAACCATGGTGGCCCGACGTTACACAGACAATGCTGGTGGAACAAACTCCACATGCATGGAGACTGCCATATTCATCACAATGGGTTTTCTGATCAGTTCATTTGCCCTGCCTATCGTACTTGCACATGCAGGCACTGTAAGTATCTAATAGTATTTAGTTATTTCTTATTAATAATGTTTTCTCCTATAAAATTTTTTACTAACAACAAATGTGTCAACATTTTATGAGGTAAGTGTTCAATTAATACAAAATCATGTTAATCAGTTTGATGGAACCCCTCATAAAGCCAGATAGAAATTATAAAAATTAAAGATTGCTACATGCGACCCTAGCTAAAAATGGTACAATTCTATAAAATATTAGGCAACATTCAGTGATTTATACTTCACAACATAATCAGAAAATATGAAATAAATATTAAAAATACAGTTAATTGAAAAATAATTTTGTTTAGGTTTCGAAACTAAAATTGACCTAAAATTTTTTTATATCAATATTTCAGATTGCATTAGGAGCATGTTTTTTGACATTGGCTGGCAATGTCATTGTCTACCTTACTATCCTTGGTTTCTTCACAATTTTCGATTCTGATGACTCCGATTATGCAATGTGGTGAGAGATCTAGATATGTCATTTGTTATCAACACAAAGGAACGATTTATAGGCAGCAAGATTTTTGTATTGTAAGATATGTTGTGGTTTTGTCTATCATAATTTAAGTCTGAAAGTTTGATACTGATAGCATAATCTTAAAATTTTGTAAAAAACTTACTCTAAATGTTCTCAAATTTATACTCAAAGAAATAATAAAGAACAGTTTGTTGAACACTGCAATGAGGACTATCGCTTTTGCGCTATTAGTAAGTAATCTACGATAAAGGTTTTCAATCAGAAGATTCAAATTTGACCGGTAATTATTTTGAAAAAAAAAAAGCTTACAGATTCGTAGTGCAACCACACTTTCTTTTTGTTATTATAAATTCATAGTAATATATTCTAAATACTTAACATGATTATTTGTTATATGTGACAAATAATCACATTATCAAAGTTTTTTTTTGTCACCTAAAGGCAAAATTTTTAAACAGTTTTATAGACATAATTCCAGCGGGTCTATCGTGTAACTTTCTCGATATGAACTTATTGAAATCTTTTTTATAAATTCATATATAACCATGTACGCTGTAGATTATACATCAAGCGAAATTCATTCCAGACAAACCATAACGTATATGAACATTTATTTTCAATGATAGTTGTATGAATAACTTTTAGTAGCGCGGTATACCCGCTGGTCTACAAATGTTTAAACTCAAAATGTAATTAGGATGTATTATGAAGCAGTTCACGAAATTGAACAGTCACGTCAAACAAATTATCTTTGAAATACGTTATGATTCTCTTTTGGATGTAATAAAATCGAGCTGAATTGTAAGAATGACTTGTATTAATAAGCAATGATGAAGTATTTAAAAAAACAACTATAGTTCCCGAAATCAAACTAGATGTCGCTACGGTACTTTCTTGATTTCTCCATAGCAACCTTTTCGGTTTTCTTTCCCGTATAAAAGTAAATTAGTTTACAAAACTCAATAAACAACTCATATTGTATTTGTACTTTCTCGTATTTGTATATCTAAGTTTCGAACTTCGCAAATTTCAGGTTTTTAATTTGTTAGTTAAAAGTAACGGAAATAACTATCTTTGGTCCATTATTTTCCTGTAAAAATCAACTTTTGCAAGAGTTGCTATTTAGTGGAGGTCCTTTTTTAGTGCTTTCCTTTTTTTAAATACTTCCTCATTCATTGTTGTATTTTCCTTTTAATACCGAAAATTTATTTTTATTTCAATAAAAAAAATCATGTAAATCTAAAAATCTGTGGTAAATTTTGAAGAATAGACAGAAATATGTCGAACATAGTGTCGCCATCTCGTGACGTTTATTACAATAGTTTATTTTTTAAGATACTTCCTCTTAATAAAATCCCTTTTTCATTCATTGCATTCATCATGACTGTAATCTGTATGCTATATCAAGACTACGAACTTTTAAATAGCTTCTAACAGTATTATTTTTCTTTAAATTTATTAGTTATTATTTTACATTCAGTTCATATAAACTCTTGTAACGTTTTTGGTTAATATTTTGTCTGCAAAAAGTCCCAGACCCACATGTTCTTTTCTTTATTGTCTCAAAACAGTAGTTAATAATATAGGGATTGCATACACTCTTGCATCGTAACACCTTATCGATGACCTAAATGATAGAGAAACATCAGTCAATTGATTGAAGTTTGTTTCGTTATCTTGAAGATTTATTGTGTCTATATGACTGTGGTACAAACACTTAAGTAAAGTAAAATAACATCTTTTTGTGTCTTTGTACTATTTTATTCATGAAGAAAAGAGTTTTTTACATTTATAAAGACTGCTTTACCAATTTTTTGTTTCTATACACTTTAAGATGACTCAGTCTGTCTTATGTCCGGTTTCTTTTATTATTAAACAGAATGTAGTCTGTGTCTAATTAGATATATTGAATTTAACGTTAATAAATTATAGAAATATTTTTATATTTTCAGATTAGGAATGTACTAACATTATTATTAATCATAAAATTTATTACGTTTAATTAAAATCGTAATGTACGTGTTAAGTATTCCCGTCAAATGGTATTGTTATTGTCATAACAATAGAGGAGAACGGCCGTTCACAGTAAAATTTTATCTAATCTTCAGTAAAAAATAACCTTAACAAAATATATCTACAGTAAAACTCAACTAATATGGCGTATCGTGATATTTGGTTTATGCAGACTATACTTACCTATTTATAATATTACATCGCTCTAGGTTTCCGTCTCTTTCACACTAAATGACGCTCAGACACGCGCCAGAATTTGGCGTACTTTAATTTAAATACAAATATTTAGCCTTCTCACATAAACATTCGCTGATCGCCATTTTATTTGTGGTTTACCGTACACAAAGTTTTTGTTAAAGTTTGAAAAAAAAATAACGGGCATGTTTTTTGACATATACTAAAATAAAAGTGGTGACTTAAAAGTTACATTACTATTTATTAAATTACTGTATTTAAAAAAATGTAAATATTATTAAGACTTCGGCGTTACTGACATTTTTTAATAATGATGAAAAATTGGTTTCCATATTTTATTTATGTAGTAGCAATGTATTATTGTTTTAAATATTTCGACAGAATGATGTCTACATTTTTAAATTGTCCATATAAATTTGTCAATCCACTTCACACACATTTGCATAGTTGTAATTTAAAAACATCCTAAAACTTGTTGGGGGTTGTAGTAGATAAACATACAAGCTTTTTAAGCTATGCAACAAAATTATGAATATATTAATACTAATAGGTAATCTTAAGTTGAAGTTTTCTTTATTGATGATTGCAATTACATTTTTAGACAGCAGGCCCAATACTAATAAATTGACGGTAATTGTCTGTCGGTATATTGTTGTCTGTATATTGTGGATGTTTTGTCGTCTGTCTCGCTCTAACTTAAGTATTTTTAATGTTATAGAGTAGGACAGAGACTGGCGAAGCTGACGATATATCGAAATATGATTGTTCTTTAATCTTTATCGGTCTTTAATTTTTAAGTTACAGACTCTAACAGTATTTATAGCTCTTAAAATAATCGTAATATCACGTGAAATAAATCTGTAGTTATGGTCGTTTTATTTTTCAAAATTACATTACAAATTTGTAACTATGCGTTAATGAAAACAGCATTGCCAAAACTAATGAGGAGTTTTTTAAAAAAAAAAATCTTAAAATCAAGATACTGGTCGCTAGGTACAATGTTAACCAAATTGTCTATGAAATGCGTTCACCTATTCTTTCTCATGTAATTAAATCAACAAGTTTTAAAATAATGTAATTTGTAGAGTAACGAAACATACAGTCCTATCCATTTTAATGCCATTGTTTCGTCACCAGGGACAGCTATTGTAATAAAATGATGTTTCCAAAAGAACGGCTTTTTATAGGCCAACAAAGGGTCGATCTGTTCCTGTAGGTACATTTAAGTGACACTTGTAAATGTCATATTATTGGCTGATTAAAAATCGTAAAGTACAACCAACGAGATGGTATATTAAATGTAAAGAAAACCAATGCAATGTTATGAGCAAATGCAGGCATGCGTAACCTTTTGAAAGTTATATATTTAGTAGACAAAAATATTTAACAAATTGAATTGTTCTTATCCTTAAAAGTTAACAATTAAGTTACAAAAAGAAAAGTCCATTCGTTTCCTGCAAAAATCAACTTTTGCTAGAGTCGCCATCTAGTGGAGGTGCTTTTTTAGTGCTTTCGTTTTTTTTTAAAAACTTCTTCATTAAGAATCCAGTTCTGTTGTACCATTTCGTTACGAGTTATTGCCTTAACACATTTATATTGTTTTTAATAATCGCAACCTGATTTAATGAAAGTACGTTTATTGTGTAATCGTTTTTGTATTAACTATCTTTTTAAGGTTGTTTTCATATTTTTGGTAATTATTATTATTATAGTAATGCCATAAGAAGGGTACAATGTTTTTGTGCCTTAATCTAATTTTAATTCAAATTCGTAGACATGAAGTCCATAATATGTGTACTCATTCTACAGTAATCTTATTGCTCGTGATTTATTTGCAAAATTATATGGTGTGGTATATCGATAGGTTCAAATATTTTGTTATGCATATGAACATAACTGTTTATATGTACACACGGCTGCACGTCAGGTTACTATAATATGTCCAGTTTCTATAATTAATTTTAACCTCTACTTTATTGTATTAAGGCTTAAAATTGAGGAGGGAAATTAGACATTTTTGTATAACCTGACACGCGGTTGACTGTACCTGTATATTTGCTTTGGAAATTTTTTATTATGTATCTATGTATACAGGAACTAAGGAAATCTTTAAATGTATTAATCGATGGAGCTCCTATTAATTATATTAAATTAATAGCTAAATGCAGTGTGGAATAAATTTATTTGTATTCCATTGAACTGAGCTGTTTCTTATGTGTTGATTTTATTTGAATGTTAGCTACATTCCTGTAAAATGTGTAAATATAACATAAAAACAGGTCACAATAAATATTATTACCTGCTTTTTATTATTTCATTACCCTGGGAAATTCGGAAAGATTGTTTCAAATAATACAATATAATTTATGAACTTACAATATGAACTTAGACCTAGTGCTAAGTATACACAACAGCATGTCAGGTTATCACAAAATGACATGATCGCAATTGATATCGAACTCTTCACAATTAATTGAAGAATTTTGACAGAGTTGACATCGAGCGTAGAGTTCAAAATCAACTGCGGAAGTTACACTTATTGCAGTTAACTAGTGTGCTGCCGTGTGTACCTGTTTTAAAGTGAACATAATTTAAGTTTTCTTTTAGGGGATTTTACTAAATTGATAATGTTTTGTAGTATAAGGGCCGGTGGGTGGCATACTGCATGTATTTAAAATCTTAATTCCGTCTCTACAATCCTTCATAAATTATATGTGTAAACTGGGTTAAACTTTAAAAATATTTAACATAGCTGCTAATGTGAAATTATAAATATTAACTATTGTCATTATTTTAAGGAAATGATGTCAGAAAACTGAGTCTTGTATTCGGTAGACTCGTCTAGTCTCGCCATTGTCTCACATAAATTTTATAAACGAATGGTAAATTATCTCTACTCTGCGAGCTTGTTAATGTTAGGCTTTACGCAAAAATCAGCGTAGAGGACAGTACAGATACTATATTAATTATAAGATATCAATACCAATACGAAAAACAACAAATAGAGTATGTTTTGTTTATTGAATTTTTAAAATTAATTTACTTTTATATATTAAAAAAAATTGGGATGGTTGTCATGGAGAAATCAAGAAAGTACCGTAGCGACATCTAATTTGATTTCGGGAGCTATAGTTATTTTATATTGTATTGTTGTATACCGTAGCTAAATTCCACTTTTAATAATTTCACAGCATTAATTCTATTGATTTCCATAAATTGTAAAAAACTTCTCTATGATTCGTTCGTATCAATCTAGTTGCGTTTGCGTAACTCGAACTAATTGAATTTCAACTCGATATTAATCTGCATTATCAGATCCATACTGCTGATAATTCTATTCTCTTTGGATTAACGTCATGAATGAGGAAGTACCTTAAAAAAAACATTAGTTCCCGAAAGCTAACTAGATGTCGCTACGGTACGTTCTAGATTTCTCCATGACAACTTTACCGGTTTTCTTTCATGTTTAAAAATAAATTAGTTTTCAAAACTCAATAAACAACTTATATTCTATTTGTACTTTTTTTTAATTGTATTGATATCCAAGTTTCGAACTTTTCAAATTTCAGTTTTTTAATATGTTAGTTAATAGGAACGGAAATAACTGTCTTTGGTCCATTCGTTTCCTGCAAAAATCAACTTTTGCTAGAGTCGCCATCTAGTGGAGGTGCTTTTTAGTGCTTTCGTTTTTTTTTTTTAAATACTTCCTTACTAACATAAAGATCCTGCAATTTGTGCTGCCATCTAGTGTCATAAAATTTTGTAAATTCCTTATTTTTTGAATTACTACATTACTAAAGTAATATTTTTGGGTTTAGTATCTAAATGAAATGCTAGGTTCCGATCATAATAATTTAAGTCCCTCTCACACCTAGGGTATATATCTTTTGTCTTGCTTTCACAAAAAATCATTCTGCGATGATCTATTTGCTCATTCCAACTGACACAGTTAACATTACTCATCTCTCTCTCATACAAAGTGTTGTTCAACACGTATAAGTTATTTAAAGTTAAATGAACATTAGAAACAAAAGTGACTTTCACAGACATCTAGACTTTTTGGAAATTTATTCATAATCGATTATATTGTTCTTAAAGATTAGCAGCATCTTCCGACTTCATCATCATATCATCTTACTGACACCATGATATTGCATTGTCACCTGACTTATATGTTTATGCAAACCTATACGACATTGGGAAGTGGGAAAAATTTGAGTTCCTAGAATTGCGCTCTAACTAATTAACATACACACTAACAAGTTAAATAAAAACTTGTCAAAATGGGTTAGTTTTGGTGAAAAATACAAAGTTACCAAATTTGAACTTTTAAATAATGAAAAAGTTTTAAAAATATGTTGAAAATTATTATGAAAACTTAAAATACATATGTTCTTAAAAGATCTTAAACTAGTAAACATGGTACTGTAGGTATATTGACCAATATTGCTTATTAACCTCGGAATTCTATTGAGTAGAAATTTTTCCTGTAAGAGTAACAATGCCGATCAATGGAAATATTGTCCACTATAATTTGAACTCTGTGAAATAAAAAAAAAAACAAATAAAATTTATCGAACTGGTGAAACGTTATTCTCACATCCATCTTTTAAGCGATTAGATATTCTGGACTTTTTCCACACCAATTGGCACTACAACATGCCATGGTTAACCCAATAACTACTTCATTATAAAGAAAAGCCTTTTCCTCAAAGTATAATTATATTCACAGATCGAACACCTGGTTGCTACTAAGGATTCGGATTACTACTTTTGTTAAATCGATCTATGCCATAGAATTAATAAGTACTGTTGTACGTAGTACTTATTAATTCTATGATCTATGCAGAATCATAGACGCTTGGCTACAGCTTGTTGTCTTTCATATGTCATCTATTGGAGGTTATCTGTGGTGAATGGTGATGGAGGAGTTTCCCAAACAGCCGTCCACACGGTAGGCCAATCATCTAATAGTTGTTGATTGGAGTTCCGACCACCTACCATGTGAATGGCCCTTTGTAATTCTATTTTATTACTTGAGAAAATGAAAAAGTGCGTAATGCGTGGAATGGAACGTGTATTAATCATCTTCCGCTTTTTTGATAGATCTTAACCATCTAAACGTCAAATCAAAAGTGAAGTGGAAGTGGCTTTACCGCACCCAGAAATTATCAAAAAGTATATTTTTCCATTTAAAGTATTGTTTTGATTACTGTTAATATAAAAATCAATAATGGGTGATCACCTCCCAGCTTGCGTTATTGACGTGGGGACAGGCTACACGAAGCTGGGCTTCGCCGGTAATAAGGAGCCACAGTTTATCATTCCTTCAGCCATAGCGATAAAAGAAACAGCCAAAGTGGGTGATCAAAGCACTCGACGGATGACTAAAGCAGTAGAAGACTTAGATTTCTTCATTGGCGATGAAGCTTTCGATGCAACTGGGTATTCTGTTAAGTATCCTGTACGTCACGGTCTTGTAGAAGATTGGGACCTGATGGAAAGATATATAGAGCAATGTGTATTTAAATACCTCCGAGCTGAGCCTGAAGATCACCACTTTTTGCTTACCGAACCTCCATTGAACACTCCCGAGAATAGAGAATACTTAGCTGAGATTATGTTTGAATCATTTAATGTTCCTGGTCTATATATCGCTGTGCAAGCTGTGCTTGCACTCGCTGCGTCTTGGAAGTCACGCACATCCGTCAAACGTACATTTACAGGCATTGTTGTAGATAGTGGTGATGGTGTGACCCACATTGTTCCAGTAGCAGAAGGCTATGTCATAGGATCATGCATAAAGCACATACCTATTGCAGGTAGAAACATAACCTCATTTATTCAATCACTTCTCCGTGAACGTGAAGTTGGAATCCCACCTGAACAAAGTTTAGAGACAGCAAAAGCAATAAAAGAAAGATATAGCTATATTTGCCCAGACATTGCCAAAGAATTTGCAAAATATGATTCGGACCCAGCAAAGTGGATGAAGAAATATACAGGAATAAATGCCATCACTAAAAATCCATTCGATGTTGATGTTGGCTATGAACGCTTTTTAGGCCCTGAAATATTTTTTCATCCAGAATTTTCTAATGCTGATTTCACTGTACCTCTGAATGAAATGGTTGATGAAGTAATTCAGTCATGTCCAATTGATGTCAGGAGAGGTTTGTATGGTAATATTGTACTGTCAGGTGGATCAACTATGTTCCGAGACTTTGGGAGAAGGTTGCAACGTGACATTAAAAGAAGTGTTGATGCACGACTGAAACTATCTACAATGTTGTCTGATGGGCGCATCACCCCAACTCCGATAGATGTTCAAGTTGTTTCCCACAATATGCAACGTTATGCTGTGTGGTTTGGAGGTAGTATGTTGGCTTCTACACCAGAGTTCTATCAAGTGTGCCACACTAAACAAGCTTACATGGAGTATGGTCCTAGCATTTGCCGACACAATCCTGTCTTTGGAACCATGACATAATAAAAATATTCACTGCCAGTATTAAGTCAAATGATAACACCGAATTAGACTTCAATTATGTACTAAGCTCTCCTAATTTGGATTTACTTAATATTATTTAAGGTATTTTTTCTAAGGATTGCTTTATAAATTATAGTTAGGTTTCTATGACATTGCGAACAAAGATTACCATAATGGTATTTATTATATACCTAGCATAAATTTATATTCTGGCAAAGCATAAAGTAAAGCTATTGGGCTATATGAAACATATTAAAGACAGCCTCACTTACAATTGTCATCTTAAATACAATTTTCATTAATGTATATGAATAAGTCTTGTAGCTTAATTTAATTTTTAATTTTTTGGACATTTCTAATCATTTAAAACAACACTGAATTTAAAATGTATCATTATTTTAAAGTAATATTTTATCTTATGTTTCAAAGCACAAGTATTCATTTTCAGAACCTATTAAATGGGTTTAAGTATTTTTTATGTTATGTTACCTTTTTACACATTTCAATCCATTGCAGGCTTTTCGCTTAACATTATTATTTTGAAACATTTTTTACAAGGAGATTTTTAGTACTGAATGTTTTAAATCGTGATTTTTATTATACTATAATATTTATGAATGAAGGGGGGGCAGTCATTAATAAAATTTGTCTTATTGTAATTTTATGTTTGAATGGTATATTAGAACACAAAAATCATTGAGTGCAAATAAAATTCCTTACAAGCTCAAATAACTACTTCTGTTATGGAGGTAAATAGTGTTATGCAATATCAATACAAAACAAAAATTGATTTTCAAAATCAAGTAATTGAATTCTGATTCATACTCAATGATCTTTTTTGTTATGTGTAAGAATGAATTATTAATTATGTTATTAGATTCAATTGAGATTCTTTCGATGATAACATTGTTTGGGTTTGCTGGAGTCGCTCTGTTAAATATAGGCATTTATTATTGCATTCCAGCTCCTTACCAAAAATAAAGTCTTATTATTATTAAATAGTTGTTTTATTTGTTAAACATTATATGTATCTGCGTTGACATACCATTTTCCGGTGATTTCAAAGTTCCTTACGGCAACTATCTTAGATCGTAGTCTGTAGATGGCGCTTTAATACAACTTTGATACTTAGAGAAAGCTATGGCATTACGATTTAAAAATATAATTGAAATATTGACTAGCATTACAAATTAATTTTTTTGTTGTTTTAACAATGATCTTTTCTGAATCGATTAATAGATATCAATTATTATTTCATAAAATTATTTGTGGGGCTAATAAGTATAAACTAAACTAGAGACCCTTACCTAATTATAGACTTTAAAACTTATAAAAATAATCTTTCTTTTGCTCCTTTTTAATTCCCGACGCAAAAAGGACTTTATAAATTTGACTGTCTTGTCTGTGGCACGGGTAGTTCGTGAATGAGTCAACCAATTTGAGTATCTTTTTTTTTAAGGAATGCATTTTTAGTTATTTTCTATGAATCTAGTATTAGCAGTTGAGCTACATGCACATTGCCATGTACCAAGCTGTACTTACCTACTTAATTTAAAATAAAACAGTAAATACTATTAAAATAATCAGTATTGACTGGGTTTATGAATTCATTACGTAATTATGATGTTTATTTTGTAAGAATGTAACCATTACGTTAGTCTATCGGTCAATTGCACAAACGTCCATTAAGGTTTATTGATGCCTTTAAGCTCTAATGAATGTCAAATTTGTATGGGTAATGCCGCTTTAAACTAATGATATTTTTAATGGAAGTTTGTGCCACTGGCTGTATATCTAGTAAGTGTAGGTAAATCTCTTGATAAAAAGGAGAAAAATCACTTTTCGTTTCATCATGAACCCATGTGAAGTTGAGTCAACGTTGCTCTTTTACATTCGCATTCTAATTAGGTAATGTCGGAGCTACCTATCTATGTTTCAGGTTTACGAATGTTACTTCCAGGGTTACCTCGTAGCTACTCCACAGAACATGTATAATAGGGATGACGACTAATTTTGTTTGTTTGTCCGTCAGGTAGAGTGTTAAAAATATTTATGACGTATTTTTTATTTTTTTCGTAATAATAAAATTACGGCGTTACATGGAGTTGAAATTTCGCATGACGTCACGTCATGGTACGTTTTCTATTAAACTGTGATTTAGCGAGCCCCCACTCCTCAATTTTATGCCTGTTATCAAAGCTATTTCTTGTTAAATTGAAGTAAAAAAAAATACGTACCTAATATTTGACTGACGGACTAAAAAGAATTGCCTTTTTTACCCAGTCATCATCCCTATTTAATGTATTATAATCTAATGGTAAAAGTTGCTTTATCATTGTGAATCATATAAATCATTGTGAGTCTCAAAATTATGAGTTTTGAATGCATGAATATATTTTATTTAAGTTTAATTGCATAAATATAAATGTACAAATGATACACGTAGGCATACTTTACCGCTCAGTTGAAGCAGAGAGCAAAAACGTACGGTCCAAGGTATGTGCCATTTTTTAATTTATTAATATAAGTAGTTTTAAATAACAATAATAATAGCCTAATAACAGTATTTACGTATTTATTGACACTATAATTTTGTTTAGTAGGTATAACTTATTTGTTGATTTTCTTCAGATCCGTCTGCCAATCGGCAAAGGCCAACCTTTTCTTTAAATAATAATATTAAAAAAAATATTAACATTTTCCACTATTTCTTTATTATGAATTTTAACTGTGCCAAATGTCATAATCGAAATGTCGATTAATAACGTAAGGGAAACCCTAGAGCATTCTTATTTAGCAGCAGAAATTACCAGGTGATGCCACGCCAATTATGTTTTTACAAAGCCGTCTCCTAATTAGTCTGTAGCACTTGTGGTACGTACGTGCATTGAACAAAGAACCGAAACCGAAATGATTTCGCGCGGCGTCGGCAATTTTCTGAATATATAAAAAGAATAAAGAAAATCGGCATTTTAGAACGATATTTTAAATCGTATTCGAATAATAGTACTAATATAAGAGAGAGGATGAAAAAAAAATAAGATTGATCGTAGCATTTGGCGGCCAACGTAAATAAAAAAGGGTCCGATATGTAAATATGTGAAAACCTGGCGTATTCTAAACTACAAAAATGTATATAGAATTTACCACGAATTTACCTTACCTACAGAAAATGGACATTGATTGATAACAGTCTCTATAAATATTAGTGAAAAATATTTTAAATTAACTATATTACCTAAGTATGAGTACAAACAACAGCATGTAGGATTAGGTAGGTACTACAACATACTAGTTATATGCAATAGGAATGATGACTGGGTTAAAAACAAACAGATATTCTATTTAATCCGTCAGTCAGATAATAGAAATATATTAGATGTTTTTTTTGGAATGGAATGGCTGAGGCCTTAGGTAATAGGCATTAAACTAGCGAGACGTCACAGTTTTGCAGATAATGTGCAAGGTGCAAGATTCATTAATTGACATGAGACCAAAACGTAACCCTTCAAAAGATTATGGAACTCTGAATACTTTAGCAGAGCAAATAGAATTGCTGAATTTCTGAAACTTGCTCAACAAGTTGGAAGAGTCTGGTGGGTAGAACTTGCAAACTAGTCAAAGGTTAAGAGAGATGCGTAGCGCTACGCTTCGGAGCTGAGCTTATTAACTTAAAACTACTTACTTCCTTCTTACATACTTAGCGGATCCTCGTAGGCCTTTTCCGTAGCAAAGTTAAAGTGAGGCGCATGACTCTTTAATTATTTATATAGGTAGTAGAATTAAAGATATGTTGAAATAGTACCCAATGAAACATTGATACTTTTTCTTAATGAAAAATGCTTAAACAACCCACTTTTCCCCATCTCAGAGTGTTGGGGATAAAGTGAATTTTATTTTTTTATTCACGGTGACTGCAAAATTGATTAAATAATTGAAAATTTTTATCGCTTAATAAAATTAAGATATTTATAAATTTAATACCAAAATAAGTGGTTTCATATCAACGGCATTTCCGGAATTGCCACCATTTAGGGAATCTACACATGTTCTATTACGAGGGTTTGAGATAAAATTAACGCCTAATTGGCATTATTTCACAATCGGACAATTTGTTTGCCCAAGAAAAGTATAAGTTCCAATTCCACCGCACTGTAATCTGTTTTGTTACAATGTATTTATAATTGTTTTAGTTTTAATTAGAAGATATTTGCAATTTAGTACCTACGTGAGTAATTTTGTATTTTTTATAATAATTTTTATAACAAAATTTTGTACGTAGGTTGGCTCAAGATTAGTTCCAATTAAATAAAGTATAAATTGCTTATAGTTAACTCCAGGTAACATTAAGGTACCTTATATTTTTTTAAATATTCTTTATGCGTTTGAGGTTTAACAAATTAAATCGTTCGTTTTCACTGACATTTCTCTTTATTTTATTGTATCTGAGTAGTCGATTTCTATAAATACAAACCGCCAAATGTGAGTCAGCCCCGCAGTCTGGGAGGATATCGTGCAAATATTAACTCCCCGGAAGCAAATTAAGTTAATTCGTACTGATTGAAGTGTAAATAGGGCATTAGAGAATTTTTTTTAAGTATAATTCTACATTATCAGAAATCTGAATAGTCTCCAAAGTCGTTTCAACCCTACAAAGGTTGCGTAGACGATGCAGCTAATTGTAGAGTGCATCTATTGTACTGTTACCCCTGCCGCTTCGGGCAGGCCATGCTCAGAGTTTTTTAATTATTCTGCGAGACACGATTCCCCCACAAAATCTGTACGCAAGCAATCCCAAGAAAATTATGCGCTGTTTGAAGTTGCCTCTTGGATGTTTTGAAAACAATTGCTCGTGAATGTGGTGGATGACGACATACTGTTACGGAGTATCTTTAGATATTTTGCTTAAATTCTCTGACGATGAATGGAATGCGCCTATCTTTTTACTGAGCATGTAATATTTTATCACAATATCGTATTTTTATTGTGTCGTAAGATATATGTATAATAAGCATATTGTTTAATCCATTAATTTTTTAATTTATATTTATTTACAATGGGCTCACTCTTGACCTCAATATAGATCATTTTGATCTTATTAGAGTTACATAAAGCCTAATTATACGTTTCAGAGGCTAAAATTAACTTTATAAATTATACAGAAATAATACACTACATATTTCTGAATTTTTAAAGAATATGTAAAGTAGGACTATTTATTTATAGCAAAACACATCATACTTTATCTTTCGTTCGTTGTGACTAAAATACGTATCAAAGTAGTAACTTAAAACAGAATATATACCGTCATCGCATCGCACAATATCGCTAAGACGTATCCTATGGCTAGAATCAAGACTAGAAGGTTCGGCGGTCGCTCTGCTGAGGACCTAAGTATTCTATTTGTCCTCAAATGGAAATTCGGTAAATCGTTCTTATAATTTTGTGAAAATCGTATCCACGAAGATTATCTGTGCATCAGAGTCAATGTCAGGTCCTACCTCGTATCATAAATTATCAAAAATGTTTTTCTTTGGAGTTGTATTAGCATATAGGAAATACCGAAAAAGAATCCCGAAGGTGCCGCTTAAACCTCTCTCCAAGAAAGTATTATTAAACGATAAAATTTTATGTTGTGTCCTAGATACGAAATTGCTCTCAAATGTGAATATAATGTGTCCCGCTACTTCAAGCTTTGGATTTGCCAAAGTAGTCCCATGAGATCATAAATCTCGCTCCCAGTATTAACTTTCAGGTCGTTTAAGCCCTTTATAAC